AGCTCCCGTGTCTTCTGCAGCCCCTTCCCCAGGGACCATCTGATCAGCCCATAGACATCTAGCAGCTGTTGCATAATCTCGCTATTAATTTAATCTCTTCAATCAAAATCAAGACACTGGCAAGCAAGAAATCCACTCACATATCTTTGTTTCAGAGACATGATCCTCTTCTGTTGGTGTACTGACCAGGCTCCTATTACCCTGGTTCTAGTAAAAATTTTCCCAACACGAACACACAACTGTGTTTTGTTGTCTTCACTGACCATACTTTTGAAGGCAGATTACAGAACATTTTGGAGAAAAAAAAGTTCCTTCATAATTTTGCATTGGAAAACTGCTGGTTAAGATTTGAAAAAAGAAGTGATCACTTTTGCAGATTAAAACATTCAGATTAAAGGATTAATGTGAAAAAAATTAGGTATAAACTTCCAGTAACAAGAAAATATTGCTACAAAGTGGTAATTTCTATTGTCTAGAGGTGGTTTCAGACATCTTTCCTAAGAAATTACATGTGGCTGTTCTTGCCATAATGTGAAGTTATAAAGCTGGCATTTAACTGGAACTTTACGGAATCATACTTATGTATTCTGGACCTTTAAAAACTATATTAAAAATCTGATAATGATATTGTACTATGCTAGCTCTATCTTTATGATTTTAGGGGTTCGTGGTTTTTTTGTTTGGCTGGTTGGTTGGGGTTTTTTTTTTGAGCTTTGAATGCCTCATAGTATTCACAACAAATTCAGCTTGATTTTAACCTTCTGCAGTGACTACTGCAAAGCTTCTTAACTTTTACACTATAATGCAGTTAATATATTTATAGTTCTTGCAAATGTCACATGGCAATGTTATGCCAGGGACAGCACATCTCAGAGACTCCTTAAGACGTCTGCATTGTTGTATTCTATTTGTAGAGGCATTTTTGTCAGCGGCAATGAAGAAACAGAGCTGCTGTTGCAGCTCTTTCAATAACATTCAAGCTTATAGTTGACCCAAGGGGCTCACATTATGACATCCATATTTAATTTAACAATAAATCATATTTTCATGGACTACAGTATTGTATTATAACCTCACTGGTTTATGTGCATGGGAATGCAGCAAAAGCAGGCTAGTACGTATCTACAAGATAGGCTAAATGGTTAGTTCATGAGAGCAAGGTCAAAGTGTACAGTGATGACAATATATAAAAGGTTTTATAACAACTTTTAGAAGTCTGAGGGAAAAAAGGACAAAAACAAGCTGTCCAGAAGGGACTGCATTTAATGTAAGGTGCATTTTTTTCAATCCTCTTAACTGCACCACCTTGCTTACTGTCAGTTTTAGTTCTGCTCTGCACTTCCCATTGCAGTCAGCATTCTCTGTATCTCATTTTCTCTTCTGCTTCATTCAAGCATATTTAAGGAGAAAATTAACACCATCTGAATCTTAAGCTTTTCCCATTCCTTTCTCCTCCCAATAATTTCTCCTATTTGCCCTGCATTTTTTACTGTTAACCTTCTAGCTGACTCCAAATTAAATGTTCATATGTTTTCTATTTACTCCCAAATCTAGTCATGCTTGTTCACATTTATTCTTGCTCATCTCCCTCTTATTTACCTCTGCCCGTATCACACCACATCATCCTCAACTTCTTTACTTTCTGTTCCTACTAACTGCAACTCTCTTTCCAGTGTCTACTTCCTGCAGCCCCCTGCAACCCAAACTTCATTTAATTCGTTCTTTCCTCCCCATAAGCACTATTAATAATCTTCTACCTGCCAGATTATGGAATAACTTCATTGTTCTTCTCCATCAGCTGCCTCTGGCAATAGTTTACCCACTGTTTGCACTGCTTTCCTCCGTAGACTTTATGAAACTCTATTATCTCTTTTAGAAGGTTCCACTTTTCAAAACTAAGTACTTTCAATTACCTTTTTATTGGCAGCCTTGATCTTTGATCTAGATGTCATCCTTAACATACATTACATAAAATTAAGGAAGAGCAACTGTAGTAAAAAGCATTTCACTACTCTGATCCATGTTCTCTTTTTACCTCTTATCCAGCCTTCTGTTTGTCATCTCTTCATGCACTGTATCTAAATTAGATTTTCAGTTCCTTGGGGTAAGAAGACATCATTTTCATTTACCTGTAAAGCACCATGCATGCCTGCGGCTCTGTAGAGATGCTAAATATGTATATCCACATTTATTAAAATATTGATGCTTTTATCTATTCATATAGTGCAGAGGCAACATGGCAGCAGTTGTATCCATTTAAAAACTATTTTCCATCTATAATAGCTATAATGTTATATATTTATAGTAGCTGCATGCTGTTCACTCTCTATTTCCTAGTTCATACTTACTCATACTCATGCTCTTTCTGGTCTTATTAACTAACACTGCCCTCCCCCGCCCCCCCCAAAATCTCAATTTTCTCTGACAGTATCAAAATCTTTTTCTAAAAATAAAGCATAGGAGTAACATACGGTGGTTTTATTACTCATCCATACTCCGTGATCACAGTCTTAGTGGGTGAAGGTTGTTGTACCAACTCAAGACTGGTCCTGCCCTCCAAAACCTTGTCATTCAAATAGTCCTGATGATAGCAAAAATTTTAGGAATTTTAGATACCAGCAATCTTGCTACCTAGCTTGAAAGACATTGAAGTATCTGATTTTCAGAATACTAGAGCATAGCACTTTCTAAAACACAAGGTCTTGAAAAGAGAAGCTCCCTATTATTTTGAAAATTTTGGCTGACAAAATTAACATAATTAGTGCAAGCATGTATTCTAAAAGCTAGGAAGGTTTTTCATGCAAAAAGATGAAATGAGGATACTATCAATCCAATTATAACATGCTAAAATATTTCTATTAACAAGTGCAGTAACAGGCTGTAGATATACTCTCCTTTGTAGTCAAGCATATTTATTTCTTGGTTAGACAAAAAAGTAAGTAGGCACGCCCAAATCCCACAGAAAAATCCACACAGGCCCCTGCCATGACCCAGAGCTCATTGCATGAATGAGCCGGTACTAATCATTTCAAAACTTAGCTCAAAAGATAAGGAATTATTGTAGAGTAGACACTGTATGCAGAGCAATTAAACTGTTCTGCTTCACATAACACTTAATAAATGGTTAAGCATTTAAGCGTTGAATAAAGTGAACGTCTTCAAATATCCTACTTTGCAGGATATCTGAGCTGAAAACTTGAAATGGGTTGCTCATTCATGGGTCAGTACATAGGGAGTGGTCTTAAACTGTTGACTCAGAGTAGCAGGAGACGTTACATGGGGATAATGTTACTGGCATTTCTTCATAAAGTGCCTTAAAGGTGATGGATTTAATATCATATTATCTTTGCATACAGAGACTTGTTTCAACCAGTGCTTCACCATGCTTTTTACTGGATAAAATGATAAACAACAATCCAACTTAACGTCAAACCGCATATATAACTAAACCTGTGTAAGGCTGCAATGATTACAGTCAGAGCACACACGTTTCAAAGCTGTGCTCAGCTGAACAAATGGCAAAGGTTCATTTTACCCAAATTTTGATGGCTCCCATATAGGCATCTACCTCAGAGCTAGTCCCCTTCCTTTCCTTACTGTGCATGAAGAGAACTGTGTCAATGAATGCACTAAGGTGTGATTCATCAGACCTACTCTAAATGTTTACTTCAGGATAAGCCATTGTACACTGCAAAACAACTAGATTTGGTAAATGAATCCCATTTCATTAAACAGGGAGAGTTGAATGTTTATTCATTTCTTTAAATCTTCAGAGAAAGTCAATTCCAGCCTTATAAGTAAACAAAATGGGGTCAATGGCCTGCCTCAAACACCATCCCTCAATAGTCCGCGGACCTTAATTTTTACTCCTTGACAAAACTGCTGTCCGATGCCAACTATTACTCTCCACACATGGCTTGGGCCAGATATGGCACAGCCCAGGAAGTGCTCTCCAAAGGCAGTTAGAAGATGATCTGCCTGCCTCAGATAGAAGTAGGTCCTACCTACTGGCTTCAGTGCCAGAAAATGGTCCTTTGCATCTTCTACTTGAAGAAAAAAAGTTAATTGGCATGGATGACAAGCCTAAATTGCAACTTTAAATGAAAAGCAAGTAGAGAGAAAGGTAGTTTTTAAATGAACATTTTAATGAAAGGAAGGATAAAATAAAGAATATAAACACAGCAAAAGTAAAAAAGAAGCACGAAGATGGAAGAATGGCTACAAAAAACTATTAAACTACGATATGACATTCATGATTGTGATCACTTTGGACAAATCTAACAGGGACAGTAGCTATTATCTAAATGAACTGGCATTTATAAATACCGTTCACTTGATACATAACGAGAAGATCTACTCCCTGTAAATTACCTCAGAGAATACTACCAACAGAAGGAAGGTAGGGAACAAATTTCCAGAAGATTGGAAATTGGACCAACTTTGTTTCTATCAAAACTAATGGTAAAGCATCTTCTGAAAAAAAGAGCTTCACTAGTGCTGAACACTTTTGGCTATCCTGACATAAAAGCAGAAGCTGAGGTATAAGGACTTAATGGCCCTGTACAGGAATGAGTTATTACACGGACCTCATTGTGTATGGGAGGTTGTATTCTGTAAGGATATTATGAGATGCAATGGTCAGGTTTTCAGGTGCACTCAACTTTACACCCTTCACAATGAGAAGTATGAACGATGAGCACTTTTGAAGATCCATGTGCTTGCTTTGCTCAACAAAGAACTATGGCCCTACAAAACTGAGTTTAGAAATAATGTACGTATGGAGCACCTTTTCATCTGTTTCCACCCCAGGATGGGGGGAGCTGGATTAAAACGACTTGCTTTTCTTTCAGCTAAACACTTTTTTTTCTAATTGCATCACTTTACTCCAATTTACATGAGTTTTAGCTTCTAGAATGATTGGTCATTGCTGAATGCAAATAAGCACGAAGTAAAATTATATTAAGTTTGCACAATTGATCTTTCATAATTTTAAATGGTACCTTTAAAATTTCCTGTAAAATCAGCCTGAAATACTCCCATCGTTGACTGTCATCAAGTAGAGCAGGGTCACTTTGGGAAAACCCATTCTCAGTGATGTAAATTATAGGGTTATTATATGTATCCTAGAACAAGACAGCAGAAGTTTTATTCAGAACAGATGTAAGAAAGCCCATAAAATCAGATGCATTACCTTCTATCTTTTCTAAGCTACAAACTAAAACTAGTTTTCATCAAATTGCACTGACCCTATTAACTTAATTTTCCATGAGCTGACCTTTTATGACTAACAATGGAAAAGCAAAACTGCAAATATCCATGAAGACAGTGAAATGACTTATTTTAATGAGAAGACTAAAATATCTTTCCTGCATTAGCATCTGCTTATTGTCACTGCTCCTTAACCCCTTGGTACTGGCAGTCACCACACGTCCCATTGCCAGGAGCAGATGCATGCCAGGAAAGCCTTACTGCTGGCATCAGAAAGATCATTTCTGGAGTTCAAAAGATGATATAACACTGGTGTGTCATTTCAAACTGTAAAATAGCTACCAAGTACAAAGGCAATAGGAAAACACTAAGGCTTCTACTCTTTATAGCCAGCATGCAAAAATTAAATTAAGAATCCCAAGGTGACTTGTTTATTTATATCTTGTACAATGTCTTATGCCATCCAGATGGGCTCCTCAAAAAAACCCCCAAATCACCAGTATTACTCATTGGATTCTCAGATCCCCTCATTGGCCAGCTAATAGTGGTAAAATGGTCCCCTGAGCTTTAGGTCACTCCTCGATACAACACAGAAGTCAACGCAAACCCCATGGTACTACAGCCAGGCATAAACTCCCAGTTGCAAAAGGCCAAGAAGGGTCCATTATTTGCTCAGCTTCACAGTCTATTGAAACACTTAGCCTCTTGCCTGCATTTTCTTGGTCTTAAGTTTAACAGTTCAGGGCAAAGAAGTCAGCAATACCCATGATCACATTTTTTCCTATTTAGTGAATTCCAGAAGCCGTGATGATAAGTAACCCTGCTTTGAATGCATTGCAGAAATCCAGGATTTCATGATGGCTGGATATTCACCATCAGTAAATACTGTCCCAACAAACCCATCTAAGGTAAAGGATAGGTACCCTTTAGTTGCTTTTTGATCTGCTACAGAATTCGTAGAGGTTCTACCAATCTGAGTTCAGAGCTATAGACACAAGTTCACATTGTTTTCTCCAAATATCTTATCACAACTGTGTCAGGGTTTAGCAGGAGCTTTTATCACATTATAAGTTGCCTTGTAAGCTCTGGTACCAATGCTGGGGCTATACCTTTTTCACAACCACCTACAGCAACAACATAAGGCTCATTAATAGCGATCACTCAGTCTCCAAATGTTCTGAAGCAAAACTTTGCATGAATATCAAAGGTCTCAACGATCTTTTCAGATCTCCAGACACCTTCATCTTCTAAGGACTGAGGTGAGCCAAAGTGATACAGTGAGCAGGATGCCATTTCCCAGGTTATTAATGATTTTGCTGTAATAATTGACTCCTGAAAATATTAAAAGAAACAAAAAAGGGTTAACTTAATAACTTTATTACATTTTAACACATGAAGAAACCTCACTGCACATTTTCTCTGTTAAGAGATGCAAATATTTCCTCTCAACTGCATGCTGACTACTGTTACAAGACCCCAGAGTTGGCAAAAATGCTCAGCACACAAAATCTTCCAACCAGGCACATAAAATCAAATGAGGATGCAAATTTTCAAAATAGATCAGTGGACAGCAACTCCCCGGGAGAAACATAATTCTGATGGGTGCTGGTCACGTGAAAATATAATCCTTCCATTTAAATGCCTGGATGGCAGCCTGGCTGCATGTACAAGATGAAAGCGTGTTGGAAAAATCCTAACACTTGAGAGCCTGACAGGTAGATTTGCTCTAACGAAAGCATTTCTCTCCTTGAGAACTGTGTCTTTTGAAAAGTTCAGTGCCACACTCAGCGAGGTAACTAAGCTGATCTTTTATGATTTGAACTTGTTTAGCTGGGTGAGCTGTTTTCTCTTGACTGTTCCATTCTCCATCACTGTCTGTGCCAGCATCAAGACAAAGAAGATACTGTCAGTACCTTCAATATTTTGCAACGGTGTGAATTCAGTGGTTCCCTCATTAGCTGGGGTGTCTTACCAGATCTATATAACATTTAAGGCTTTTCATTGGGCTTTAATAGATTGTAGATGGAGTTTAGGGCACTGGTCTCTTTAGCCACCAACTTGAATGGCTTGGCAATAGTTTATCCAAGAAACCAACTCTCTTCCTTTTACACTGCCACTGCTGCAGACTGCTCAGTCCCTCTAACTGCGAGAAGGAATTAGCTCACCTCTCGAAAAGCTCATGACTTCCAACCTTTCTTGTCCCCCTTGATAAGACAGAGATCAACTTTAATTTCCTGGATGTGTTGTTAAAGCTGGCCAGTACGGGGGATGTATTTCTAGAGGCTTAAAAGGAATTCACCTTCTCAGATTTAGCAGTGGCTGACATGAATATGTTTCCTAAAGGACTATTTTTATGCTGCTGAGAGGTCACTGTAAGTTTAAATATTAGGATACCTTAAGCTCTTATATAAGCATTTTTAATTTTGCTTACATCCAAACACAACTACATTGCTTTTAAGCCTTCTGAAAACACTAGATATTGCAAAACACGTCATAAGCTCTGGTTCAAAGAGTATCAATTAGCTTGCTCTTTTACTTGAACTATCTGGTTTAGCGCGGTAATTGGAAAAGACCAACAGTGGCCTTGAATTATTACTTGTTAAGCTAAGAGGCTCCAGCCAGGAATAGGTCTCCATCATGCTGGTGGAATGTAGAAATCAGTCAGCCTTTGCTTCAGAGACTTGGGCTAAATATACCAAAGTGTTTAAGAACCTTAGAAACCTAAAATTCATAAAAATGTCATGGGTCTTAGACTACCATATATCCTAATAAGACATAGGTGCTTATGAAATATCTCTCCCAAGGCCTTGCTGTATTGAAATCCAGAACTGAGAAAGGTCTAAAGAAGTTGAGAACACAGCAGAAAGGAGGAGGAGGAAGACTAAGTTGCAAAGGTTAATAAAATGTATGCTTAGGAGGTTATGTATGGTTTAGATTATTATTCTTAACAGTTTCTGAACCAGAGATTTTGTTTAACCCAATGCAGGAAACTTGTTTGTTAGTAAACATGTCTGTGCTATATTGGACTATAACTTCCCTGGTATTTTCAGGTTCAGCTTGCTGTGTATTGATATTTAAAAATGCCAACACAGAATCCCATACTACCTTCTTCTTAAAAGGACAGTATTAGACTTTAAATTATCCTAACTTCAAATGACTGATCGTAAGGATTTCTGTCGAATGGCTTTTTTAAGACAACATTTACTGCAGCAATCAATTATGAGCCCCAGATTTAGATAGTGCCTTCTCATAAACAAACAGGTGCATACACATCCTTTAGCACAGCAAGACTCAATAAGTTTGTTTACAAAGTAATTCACAATAAATCTCACAGTTTGCTTTTTCGTCCGAATGCAGCACCAGAAAAACACATTAAATTCTGAGGAGATACGTGCCTGTGCCTGAGAATGCACCCACATAAAAGAGGAAGGAATATACCAGAATTTTAAATTTTGAAAAGAAAATTCTTGCAATTTGCAAGACAAATTAGGAGCAAATAGAGTTTGTTACTGTTACTTTTGAACAGGGACCTATTTGACTTCAGTGGGACTGGGTGTGTGTTAACTGTTTGCTGATGGGACTGCAAGGCTTAATACATAAGCTTAACCTGGGAAAAAAGAAATCCTTTGCTGGTACAGGATCCCGTTCTACCATATTGAGAGTAATGCTCGCCTAGAAGAAACTAGCATTTCCCATTCTAATTTTCAGATTATAAATTACTTAGTACAATTTATAACATTTAAGTGCAACCAACTATCATTCATTTTTTACATCTCGATTAAACACCAATATTGGAAAAGATTTATGCTTTGTGTTAGGAAATGAAGAGAAATAGAACTGCATCCCTGAAAAATGTAAATGCCAGGTCAAATTTCCAGATTGTCTCATACTTTCCAGAGTAGCCTGATTTAGTTTCTATGGCTGTATCTGTGGGTCAGCTAGAAGCTGAAATACAGAAGAAAACATTCTTCTGAAAAAGTGTGTATATAAGGCTTTTGTGGAGACACCCCAAAATTTTGGGATTACAGACGTTAAGGAGCATTTTGTCACTGGGAAGTGAAGGATTGTTCTTTTCCCCTTTCTGTTGTCTTCTCTCCCCATCCTGATTCCCTACCTTCACGCTGAAGTGAGGCATTACATCAAACTCTCCGAGACTCAATACCCCCACGTCTACTCCTTCTGTCTCCCTCCACACCGACACCTAGTGTTCAGCAGCTAACGTGTTCTGCTCAGGGCACCTTCCAGGGTAAAAATAATTGTACAAGAATACTTTAAAAACAAACTTGGTGTAAGTTTTTTCCTAAAACCTGACACATCTTAGGAACAATACACCTACAACATCACTGCTTTAAAAGACCCTACCCACACCGACTTAGAAACAGAATGGTTTTAAAGGTTTTCAAATGTCCTACGTCTTAGGTGTGAAATTGGTAGTGAATCAGTTGGTGTGAATGATTTTATTTGAAAGGACATTGCTCTAAGCTTTCTAATTCTTCACATGCTCTTTGTAAAAATGTTTATATAGAAGATGATGGCCTTTCCATGCTATGCAGTTACAATTGCTTCAACAGATCACTGCACAAGAGAAGTGAACTCCTGCCTAATGAAAGCTGGCCTACTTGGAGTTCCTCCAATGCCCTTTTGCTAAATGTAAAGTTCATAATATTAATCAGGCAACTGCTTATACTGGGGATCAAGCGAACATTTCTGAAATTACAGCTGAGTTTTGTCAAAATGTTAGCTTTCCTTACCACGTGCATTCAGAATGTCTGCTTGCTATCTCCCACTCTGACGTCTAAATAACAAAGCCTATTCAGTAGGCAGCTCTGTGGGGTTGTACAGTGCCTGCAGCCCCAGCTGAAGGAATATCAGTACAGGAAAGAAACCACAAGGACTCAGCCAAATTTAAATTCAACACGCCACAAAAAGCATTTCTAGGGAAGGGCAAGCTGTGCCAGTGAAAGTGGGCCGCGTATTGTAAATTTTGGTGGCAAAGGAAAGGCTTCCATTCAAGCCTCTCCGGGATGCTGGCACGATTTTTGCAGTCATGCTCTGCAGGGGAAAATGGCTGGTTGGTCTGTTTGCAGCAGATTCACCAGCCCCCTCCCCCCTTTCTGAATTCTTGAAACAAAGGGTCCTCCACTCTCTGGTGAAAACCGTAATCTGCAGGATGCAGAGGACAGGCTGCTGCCTATTGAACAGCCAAACTCTACATGACCAAAATTCTGCAAAAAAAAATTGCTTCTGCTGGTATCTTCCTAGTACAGATCAGGATAACCTGAAGAGCATTTTCTAAGAAATCCTTTCCCTTTGTAGCCTCCCATCTTTGCAACCTTCAAACCAGTGGAAGAAAAGAATTGCCAAGGCAAACACTGCCCCAGAAGTACAAAGATATACGTCTTCTTGGTAGAACTGAGATTCAGAAGAGTAGGAGACAGAATTGAGATTCAGAGGTTCATCCAAATCTACTTTGCTTTCTTCTCCTCGGAACAGTATCCTCCCAGCATATAAGAGACCTCAGCCAACTACTTTGATTCTCCCATCCTTTCTGGTTCAGTTGCTTTTATTCTTCACAATTCTCTTTATCTCTTCTTTCTTCCATTCCCTACATTCTGCAGGCAAAGCTGCCATTTCCTATCTTTTCCTAGTAAGTCACCTTCATCTTTCCCCCAGTCCATACCAATGGAATTAAAATAAGCAATCTGACCAGCTTGTTATGTGCTGTATCCCTTTTCACTTTTACACTGTCTGCTGAGATTGTGAAAACTCAACTCTTCAGAGCAGGCACTGTCTTCTGTTTGTCAGGGAACTAAGCACAGTTCCTAGCTGAGTCTGAAGAATCCTCTCTAATTTGCTAAAGAAAATATCTGGAAAAAGTATGTCCTCTTAGTGTAAAATAGTTGATGTGAAGTTCAGTACATCAGAGTATACAGATAAACCATCTAAATGCATTTGCCAAATAAGATACTTGTCTATTTAAGCCATCCAAAAATATCCTCATGGCTAGGATCCCTGTAAGTATAAACATTCTGATGAAGCAAAATGATTTAGAGTTACAATTAAAAAAACTGGAGTAAGCAAAAAAGATACATAGGAAACATAATACTAATCCTATCCCAAAAGATTGTGCTATCCAAGGGGATCTGGAATATTAATTAGCAAGTTGTTGCAAACCTATAAAAAAATCATCCCATAATTACTCTGAAAAAAGTTGCAATTTCAAAGCTACACTGCAGAATAGCATACTGGATTAATTATGCCAGACTGCAGCAATAACCTTGAATTAAAGCTGCAACCTTCTATTTTTAAGAAACAATTGCCTTTCTGGTTGATGAAACCTGTCGTCCCATCAGGTAACAGACGTGACCAGGAAAGAGAAAAGCGATAATGAGTCAATCCAAGCTGTTTGATACATTTCAAATCTTCCTCCCACAGAGTGTAGCTGCCACAAGCTACATCACCAGTCTGGTTCTTGAAAACTCGATCTCCTCCCTGATGGGTGAATGTGTCCCAGACATTAGGGCCCTTTCCATCTGCATTCCAGCCTTCTGCTTGAAAAACAAAACTTGGTCGTTATACTTTTGACATCAAAAGACATATGTTGAATGTAAATATTTATCACAAAGTAGGGACAAACCCCTCAAAAATGAGCAGTATTCCATCCCCCCTCCTTATATTATTTAAAGTAACTAGGAACTTTCAAGCATTAGTATATATTTGCATTAGGTTTTGCATTTATTCATATTTTTTCTTGCTGCTAATTATTTAAAAATCCTGTTTTAAAAAGCATTCAGAGTTCTAATACTCTTCATACTTCCTTAGCCAAAAATCAAATGTTTGCGACTCTTGAGATACTACAGGTTTTCACAAAGGGCATTGTCTAATGCAACTTCCATCCATAAATGTAAAAGATCAGTCCATATCAAAGAAAGCCTTTAGGGTATGAGAAATATGTTCAACGAATAGGCACTTATGGCTTTCTGGATGTCCTTTGAAAATCCTGACAGTCTGTTAAAAAGAAAGGAATGCCATTATGAGCCATGGCCCTAGGCATATACAAGCTGAATTAATAACACAGCTCTGCAAAACTTCTGCTTTTTGCTTAGCCAAACGTTCACAGAAATAAATTTTGAATGCTCAAAATCCCTGCGCCATTTTTTTCACTTTCATAGTTTTGGGAAATTTCTTTGCAATCCAAAATTGAAACAGACAGATTACCTCCAAAATATCCAAAATTTAACTGTTGTTTGAGATTACACAGTACTAACATTACATAGTATTTAAACCAAATAAATGTACCCTTCTTCATGACAAGCTTCTTTGTCTTTCCACAGCAATGCTGTAACTGAGGCAAACATTTCATTTTTAATGTGGAGAGCTTTGTAAACTTACACCCCTGCAAAGTGTGGTTTTATCATAAAATTCCAAATAACCCCTAAATGGCCAACCTCATTTACCAGCAAGATATTTCAGAGCCCCAGTGAAAGCACTGATCCAGGGTTACTCTTTAAAAACTAAAATGACATTGTGTGTTAAAATCATGTATAAATTAAATATCAGTTGGGTTGTAAGATTAATAACTATATAATAGCTACATATCAATCCTCAATAAAAGTGTTTTAATAATCAATTAGTATCATAGAAATTAGAGATGGAGGAGATCTATTAGGAGGTCATTGAGTCCATCCCCTGCCAATGCAAGATTGCTCCCTTAAGTATATTCAGTACTTAATACACATCTGTCTTATTAAATCTAAGTTTAATGCAAGGTTAAGCATATTGAAGACACTTAATTTAAAGCATTACTAAAATTTGTAACATCACTTCTAAACCTAGCTTTTCAAAGATCATTGTCACAAATCATGTTCTTTACAGAATTTTATCACAGCACACGAACACCGATACATCTACATTTGGTTGGTCAGTAAATTAAACTCTTATATGGGACAACCTTCAAAGTAGGTCAAATTTTAGATCCAAACAGTTTGAGTTTCTCTTAATCTCAGATTTCATCATAGACTTTGTGCTCTGTCTGTATACTCCTCGGAAAAATGCAGTACTAAAAGTTTTCTATATCCTGCTTCTGATTTCAAATATGCCTGCTGAAATAAATAGTCATTTTAGAGGAGTGCAGAAAATAACAAATAACAGTAATTCTTTGGTGGTACCTAGAACTTAGAAGCCTTTAAGAGCAGGCTTCCTGCACCGTATTGATATGATATAGCTCCTTTTTCACTACAGTGGGCGGGAAGGGAAGGCAAAAGCTGCCATAATGGGCAGCTAACACACCTTCATTCAAGAATCAGCAGCTAGAGCAGATGCTGAACGATTTCTTTTTTGTCTGCCTTCCTCCAGCAACGGAGGTGGGAGGGAGGGGGAGAAGCATTTGATTTTCAGCAGAGGATGACAGTACTACCCCAGTGGTCATTAGCCACTATAAAGCCCTGACCGGGGCTGTGGCAAACAGAGCCACTTTCAAACATTCCTCATGCTGTTTGAAGAGCCCCTCTGTACAGCGCAGAGTTTCCGAGCTAGCTAAATAAAGTGTAGGAAGCAATCTAGCCAAGGCAACAGAAAGCTCCACATACACTGATGTATCCTGCTGAGCCACAATTAGTCTGCACAGAGCTCTGCTCTGCTTCAGTGAACTGAGGTTGCACCTCTAAGCTTGCTCAGAAACCTCCACGCTACACAGCAGTTCACAGCGTAGACGTACCCTGAGTTTTAGCGAGCTTCAGGGCCAGGAAAGAACAGTGATGGGGAACTGATTTTACATTTCAAACAGATAGGTGAGACTTGGCTTCCAAATCATCACATAACATGTCATCATATGATTAATATAAATTATCATGAAACGTGATGCATGTTCCCTATTCTCTGCAATTATTACAACGGAGTAAGATAGAATGTTTTTCCTTTTAGGTGAAGCTAGTGAAGCAGGAATTTTACCGATCAGAGTATTTCGATTTTCATGTATTTTTCCAAGTTAGCTTTTCTTCTAATTCAGTTGTGCTTTCACCTTTTGGAGTGAAATTTTCTTGGCCTGGTCTCTGCCCAAAAGGTGAAATTTTGTTTGAATTAATGCAGTTCAACTATTTGGCATATGAAAGAAGTGAAGAAAAACACTTTTACCATTACGAGAATTTTTTGCAACTTTTCCCTCTCTCTCTCACAAAAAAAAAAAAAAATTATCAAGCAGAGAGTTGAAATTTAGCATAGAAATGGCCCTCAGTAAGAAGAAGTGCTTTTGAGTGTTCTGGTGCAAATTGATTTTGATTTGACTGAGTCATGAACCTTTGAAATCTGCACTTTGAGCATGCAGAGTACAATTGGTATGATTTTTTAGCACTTTGAAATATACAGAGTGGAGAAGGTTGTACTGTGCATAAATGCATAGCTGACAGTAAAAAATAAAAAGTAGCCTGTCAGCCCTTGCCTCATCCACTGTGTATCTATCTTGTGATATGTGCGGCAACTGAGTTTGGACTCTACAAGAACTATTGCTTCAATCATGCTGCCTCTAAGTCAGAAGCTGCACAGCTTCCAAAGCTTTCAGGAGGAGGAATTCCCTGTTGAGTTTCTTACTTCTGTGGGAAAAGGGTCATTTGAGTAGTGTCTAGACCACATTATAGATTTTTTTTTTTTTACGTTTCTCCCACTCAGAAGCCTTAAGAAAGCTCATTAAAAATACATTAAGAGAACATTAAAGTTGCACATCTAGCCACTCAAAAGGCAGGAAATTATAATGTCATTCTATATGCACACACAATTCACATTTTAAAAATCAGTTAGTAGAGCTATGCGCATTGCAGGACTCGAGTTAGAATCTGGCCCAGAATATTGATTCCCCGGGAACAGCGAGCTGTTCAGTCTATTAGGTGAAGCTAACTGAGCTCGTTAAAAGGTAGCAAGCATGGGCAAGTACTCTCACTTTCAGCAATAACCAAGAACTAAAGGCTACATCCTCAAAGACAATTTTAGATCTACAACTCCCATTTAGGTACTGAAATCAATGGGAGCTAAGTGCCTGTATGCTGCAGGGTATAATATGAGAAAATCAGATCTATATGTATTTTAAAGGTCTCTAAACACACATTTATGAAGGGATAAAGGTTGGGGGGGTTATGGCTGTAGGTGTCCCTGTACCTTATGGGTTTGCATTCCCTACTCTGCCACATGTTTTCATATCATGCTGGGCAAATCACTTTATCAGCGCCTCCATTCAGTTGGGAACATGACACATGCCCCTGGGGGAGGGCCTCCACAAGTCCAACTGTTAACTTCTCAGTTCACCATTTCTCATATTCTTTGGAGATTAATTCCTAACTGAGGACCCCCTGTGAGTACCAATGTCTGATGAGGTAGCTCTCCCATCCAGTTTTGAAATAGTCGATAGTAATCTACTTAAATCAGCTCTAGAGAAAGGAAATACCCAAGAACTAGTGGGAAAATTACTTATTTCTGTTCCCCCTCCTCCCCCAATAGCTAGTGAAAGGCCCCTCCTCTATTTCCATTACCTAGCCATATTTCTGCAATTTGAAACATCTTTTACCCTCTTCTTTCTGCTCGGGCCAGAAGTGTTTAAACAAAAGTGCTACATGGATTTGCATCAGCTGTAGCACCTACATAATGAGGGAAAGATCAAACACCCTCCTTCCTGGATCCCGACTTTCTGTTCACTTAAAACTTCCTTAACACTTTGGCAGCTAAAAATTGACACCTTCAATTTGATATGCTGCTGTAGCTGCACCCCAAGCAAATCCAACTGGAAAAGCAATATCCTCTGGCACCGGCTGCAGAGGACAGGCGAATACACAGCATTATGCGATGCTACGGAGATGCGGGCTTCATTTGCAGACATAGGTTTCTGGCTCGATCACTCTTCCACGTGTTACAAGCAGATTCTATACTGAAGACAAAAATAAACCTTGTGCAGCTTCACACACTGAAGGGCAAGCCGTGCACTTTGCATATCTCAGGATTAAAGCAGAGAGGTTCAGCCAGCTAATAGTGAAAGTGGAAAAGGCAGCAGTGGAAAAGCCTGGGGTGGTCGCGGTGAAAGGGCTCCACCTAGTACAGAGCATTAGTACACAGAACAGATCCCTGCTCCCCTTCACTTCCCTCTCACCTCCCGGCAAAAGGACTTTGTGGACCCTCTACTCAACAGAAATCCTTTAGCCACCAGGCAGAAAGTCATTTCCACCCCTTTCAGTAAGCTGCAAAACCTTCTTCTTTTCTGGTATCAAATTTGTATTTTTTCTCTCCCAACACCAAAACAACTGGCCTGCAGTAGGTAAGAAAGGATGTTTTAGCCATTACATGTTTAGCAGTAGAAACCAATGAGTAGAAGAGGAAGTTTTGTATGGGAGTACAGACAGAACAGCTATCTTTCTCCTTCTTCAAAACCCCATGGATGCTCATTTTTTCTAGAGCAGCAATGACAACCTTACAGCATGTGTGCCAGAATCAGCATCTGCAGAACAGCCCTCAGGTCCCTTCCTCTACCTTCTGTCAATGCTGTTCCTGCTCGCCTGTCAGCAGGCTGAGAAGGGAGCAGCAGCAGGAGGACGAGTCAGGGTATGACTGTAACAAGTGGCACGGGCTGAAAGTAGTTGACTGTCCCTTCCCAGAAAACTGCAACACCTGGCACACTAGATGGCACTACCGCGATTTTTTTTTTTTTTTTTGGACTTGCAGGAGTTTTTTCCCCCATTTATTATAATACTACTTTCACACTGCTTTTGCCAAGGTCGCTATCTGCACTTATTGGACTGCTAGGCAATAACGTATGATCACTACTATTTTTTCTTCTTGTTTACTTTTCTTGCACTTTTTTGATTTTGAAACCTTTCTGGGTGAGGACCTACTCCTGCAAAGCATTATCCACATAAGTGATATTTTCTTTGAAAACGAAAATAAGACAAACCTTAACATATACAGAAGAAGCCACTAATATAGTTAATGCACATACTTTTGCCAGAAACACACACAATGAAAGAGTCAACTTCTTAGGAAAAAAATTCCTTTGTAGGGATGCAGAGAAGCTGATTTAATTCCAAAGTGCACATTGCAGAACCAGACAGTGCAGATGCAATGCAAAATAAATCACGCTTTCACAGCAGGCATGCATTTCCTCAAGTGTCTTTCAAAGGCAAGGTAAAAGACCCTTGAATACAGAGGAACAAAGGGGGAAATGAGGCACAACACACCAGCTAGTTCCCAAAACACATGCTGACACATGGTCTAGGCAAACATACATATCCTTTACGTGTTTTATACAGATGACCAAAAATTGATGCAATGAACTAGTTAATATTCTCTGGTTGAAGCAGCCTCCTCAGGCTTTCATTTGCAAGAAGGTGAGCATTGGACAGTTAACAGTAAAACTCATCAGGGACACCTTAAATCATGATTAATAGGTATTAATGAACCAGAGTAATAATGTATATTTTTTACATCATTAAATGTTATTGGTAGGCACCTTTGAAAATGTAAGTGACATTAAATCTTTTCCCAGAAAATCATACCATCCAATTTCACAAGAGATATAATAAATATGTAACGCAATAATAGGGGGAGAGGGGCAGACAGGAGATAGTAGCAATAAAAACCTAATAAAAAGTTTTATAAAAATGCTTAACCATAAAAACAAGGCTAAAAAGTGTCACTGCTGATTCCCTAGCAGGAATCAACAGAGACAGAGATGGGTTTTAGGAGAGATTGAGTGGGAGGAAAATATTCCATAAGCAGTCTGGGGAAGAGTGAACAAAATTTGCCTCAGAGGTTAAGGCAGATTCACAGTAATGAGATAACAGGCTATGTCAGATAAGTAGGCAGATACTGAAAGATGCAGAGCTTCAAAATTCAGAGAAGCTGAGTTTATAGCAGCTAATCTCAAACTCTTCTGGCAGCCCAATTTCTAGATTTGTGACCCCACTTCTGGTTGTATTTCTGGACTCATGAACCCACTCCTTGTTGCAGTAGTGGGACTTGCAATTATACTGCCATTAGAGGCACTGCATGTCATCATGGCCCTTGGGATGCACCCGCTACATCTAACAAATCACCTGACCCCAATCTGAATTTCAGTATTTCACTGTCCCATTGTTTTGTTCAACACATGTAAGTACAAAACTATAAGAGACCTCAGTTCTACCTAGAGGCAATTTTTTTCCAGACTAGGTTTAGGGTTTTTACATTTGCACTGACACAGACTATACATAACTAAATGAGATCAAGCCAAGTACTCCTAGAAAAAAATCGAGCAGTTCTTGGATATCCAAACATATTTGGATAAAGACATTTTTGGCAAGTCAATAAAGACCAAGAGTAATTGGCCCTGATGCTAACTTTATAAAATGCTAGGTATTATATTAAGGTAAAGGATAAACTGACTTTGGTGTTGGGCCCTTAAGTCATGTGGGATTAATTATTATCAGAGGAATTGTATCTTGTCAAAATGAGTTTTTCCTCACTGAACCGATGTTTCCTAATGACGTATTATAAATATGTTTAATAGTACTTACTACCGAATTTAGAAATTAAACTTTGAAGGGGTTGTGAAGTTGAAAATCTCTTTCCTGAAATTTTAAACTATGCAGGAACAGAAGGAGGATATAGATGCTTTGAAAGCTAGACTGTATGTCTCTGAAACAGCCAAAGATAGAAGTTCACATATTCTGTGAGTTGTCTTGGAAATTGCTACTTATAAATTTAGCTTCCCTCCCTGGCAACATAATGGAACAGCTATTGCGAAAACAAATTTACTAAAACACTTTGAAGTCTGCCAGACAAACTTGATTTTTTAATAGTAATACAAAATTAATGAATAGAGAGCAGAAGCTATACTGTCACGCGTCTGAATTTTAGCAGTGTACTGTTTTCTTTAGGATATTTTAGCACTGAATTTAAGGTGTTCTCAATTAAGTTAGGGAGACAGTTTCCACCTTACACTGTGGCTGCAGAAGAGGACTCCTAACTTTGATCCTCTAAATTGAGCCTTAATTAGAAGCCTCTGCTGGATTGTTGATTAGCCTCTCTTCTCCCATCTCCAATGTGTCAAAATTCCGTTCCCAAATTTAAATCAAATTGGAAATGAACTATCATGTTGACTGAAATGAAGGGTGATGACAAACAATGAAGGGTAATGATAAACAATAACTTTGAAGGGAGGCATTTAGTGCAGTACACAAAGATTAGTATTACTTCTGATCTCATTTAATAGCTTCAATAATGAGCTAGAAGAGGGAGTAAATGGTACATTAATGAAATCTGCAGATCTATTAAACTAGGAGGAGCTGAGCACAGTGCTGAAAATGGAGAAATAATACAAGGGGTCACGGGAAGATTAGAAACACAAGCAGAATATTGCAGTGAGATTCAGTTTAGAAAACAGAAGAAAAATATTTGGGTAAAAAAATCAACAGATGGTAACAGGTAAAAATCTGGAGAGCTGTAATGCTGGAAGAGATTTAAAATTAAGAACATCAGGAAAACTAGGCAAGAATCTGTATCTGAGCAGCAAAAAACCCCTGAAATTTGGGCAAAACTGTTAAAGAATAAGCAAAGAAGTAGGGACTCATCTTAAAGCAGCTCTACAACCATCAGCTCTCTTCTGCATTTAGTCTGGGCACTGGAAAAACAGACTATCAGTCAGATGGTTAGAGATTTTGCAGCTATGGAATTTTTTCCTGGAAGAAAACTTAAAAGTAAACCATCCATTTAACAAACAGAGTGTTGTCCTTCATGAAGTGAATGACATAACAGTGAGCCACCAGCTAAAAGACCATAAAAGAGCATGAGACTGAAGAAATAAAATATTCTCCCACTGCTTCTGGTAATTGCATCATGCAGCTTGAATTTTTTGATATTGCTGAGGAAACTGCCGATGCAATGCCAGCTGCTATGAGCTTTCCAATACCAGATATATGTGCACAATATCTTGGAGAGCTAAAGCCAGTTGTGAGCAAGTTAATTCCAGCTGAGGAGCTCACACAAGTTAATCTTGCTGGGAATAACTGTACACAAGCTATACCAGAGCGCCAAAATAATGTTACATCACTCCCTGTACCAGAGACAGTTTCAGCAATTCTGCGCAGCATTAAGCATTAAGATGTATAGTACGTATGTAAAGTGATATTCCATATTGGTCATCAGTCTTCAAAAGTCCTTGGTAGCTCTTAGCTGTTGAAGGCATTGTCCTTTATTGCTGAGTGCCTCCGTACAGTATTTTTAGGTGGGCTTGGCCGCTCAGGAGTTTGTCACTGTCACTACGTTGTGACCCAACACTGAGTGGGCAGAGAGCAGGGCGTTGATCCACAGCTTTAAATTTGCACACTTCAGTAGAAAACCTGGCAAAAACCCTTTCATGTAAAACCATGCTCTATTCATTTGTATCTCGGCATGTCCTGCCATTCCAATTGTTCACCTTCTAAGTGAACAAGCTTAAAAACAATGAGCCATCATACAAAAATGTCAGGATAAAAAAAGGAGGATATATATATGAAAACCAACATAAAAAATACCAGAAGCATAGACAGACCCCCTGGTCCCTTGTGAATGCAACTTTTTGCTGAGATGGTGCCCCTTCACTGATCTTTCAGGGAGAGCTGCCTACGTTTTCCAGAAACTGAGAGTTTCAAGACATTTGTAGAAACTACCCGCTGGCAAACTTGCTTGATATGATTTTGCCAGGAAAATATCTGCTGTACCTAATCAGATTGGCTGCAACTGGTTAGAATGACACATCTGAATGATTTTAAACTAAACTTGTTAACATTTTTAAAATAGAAGGCAAAGAAGTCTTACGCGTGTGTGAAAGCAGTATAGTTTCCCTATTTATGTCATGAATCTGTAGGCTATTTCACTGTATAGCTGAATTTTCAAAATCATGTGCATATAATCTTTGCTGCACATACAAAGTTCTGCTTTAAAACCAGTATGCCCCATTTTTTTACAGTATGTATACTTTGCTATCCCAGCACCTTATCTAAGGGTTACCTCACTCTGGAACATCATTTAAGTGTCCATACGAATACAAATCTAGAGGTCAAATTTGGCTCCTTTAAAAATGTGGGCCCAGTATCTGATTGTTTGATGCTTCTGAAACTTCTCCCTTGTTAACAGCTAAATCATATTTACCCTTAGAAACCTGTCATATCACTTGGGTTTTATTCCTGGGAGATTATATATGTGATG